AAGTCGTATTCCTGCTGCTGCTGGGCGGTGCTGTTAGCCGCACTTCCTTTCTGAGACCGTTCACCTTCCCTTCATAGGGTGTGCTCAGGGCAGCTGGACCGAAGATGGCCCCTTTCCCCACAGCCATAGCACCTAGGGCTGTATCTTTTATTGTGGTCGCGAACCGTAACTGCTGTAACCTCCCTAGCGTGAGGTGAACGATGATCCTGTCGCCGCCAGGCAGTGTCGTTAGCTACACTACCCTCTCGAGATCGATCAACTCTCCTTTCCACGGTTCACTTAGGGCAGCTGATTCGAAGATGGCCCTTTTCCCCACAGCCATAGCACCTTGGACTGTATCCTTTGTTGCGGTCGCGAACTGTAGCTGCTGCAACCTCCCTGATGCGATGGGAACGATGATCCTGCCGCACGGCTTCCACCTCCAGTGCATGGGCCAAGGCGTTCTTAAGCGTCTCGTGGTGCCCAAGCCTCACAGCAGCTCTGACTTCCAGGTCGCGGATGCCGTCGATGAATGTCTGCACCAGGTTCCCTTCAATGAGCGCAGGTACAGACCGGTATGCTTTTCGCACCAGCTTCTCCACTTCTAGAGCCCACTGCTGCAGGTTTTCGTTAATGCGCTGCACACGATCTTTAAGCTGCGCACGAAAGACGTGTTCCAGGTGAGCGTCGCCATATCTCGCCTCCAATGCCTCAAGGAGTTGCTCATAAGTCACTTCCTCACCGAGAGCTTCCAGAACTGTTAAGGCCTGGTCGCGCAGGCCTAGTGTGAGAGCAGTCATGGCCTGACTTTTATTCCAGCCGTTCGCCTTCATAACAGCCTCGAACTGGATTTTGTAGGCTGACCAGGAAGAAGTCCCGTCGAATGGTGGCACCTTGAACCCACGTAGCGAAGGTGTAGTAGCTACTACGGGAACTGAAGTTCCCTCGCCAAGTTTGAGTTCGTCAAGTGATTTCCTCATGTCAGCCATTACGTTGTCAACCCGATTGTTCACTAGGTCAATTCGGGTTTCAGCTTCCGACAGGCGGTTTTCATGTTGAGCAACCTTATCTTTCACCTCCCTTATCTCTTTCCCGAAGGTAGCGTGAAGGTCCTTCATGAGGAGCATCTGCTCTTCCTTATCGCGTTGGAGTTGCTCTTCTAAACGACGGGCCTGTTCCTCCTGCCAGCGGGCCTGTTCCTCCTGCCGGCGGGCCTGTTCCTCTTGTCCTCTTTGCAGCTGCTCTTTCAACTGACGGGCCTGCTCCTCCTGTCGGCGAGCCTGCTCCTCCTGTCGGCGAGCCTGCTCCTGCAGCATCACCATCAGAGCACCTAAGTCAGGTGCTGCAGATGTAGGAGCTACCGACGGGCCTGCAGCCGGTGGCTGGCCCTCCGTCGTCTGCGGCGTTGCACCACCAAATCTTCGTTGGTCCGTCTCCTGCTGGCGTTGACTTCGGGTACGGACACCCTCCGTTTCCTCCTTAGGTAAAATCGGCATGATTTTATCCCACTTCTGACACCAATTGTTACGAGCTTGAGGTTCGTGACAATAAAAATTGCCGATAAAATTACCTAAATTAACACTTTAATTTACTTTACACAATTAAAGTTAAAACACCAATAATTTAAACACACTAATTCACTTAATTCCTCTCCGAAGCTTCGCTTGTTTCGCCCAAATCAACACTGCCTCGATCGCATCTTGCAGCGCCTATATATTTGAATTAGCAAAGAAATATCCAGAATGTTCAAGTAAACACGCGGAAGGTACCGAGCGTTCGAGTTTCGACTAGGCGCTGTCAGTTGAGCGATTTGTGATGTCATTTTCTCAATGCTCCCCTCGCTCTCGTTCCTGACACTAGATGGCGCTAGTGTATCGTTGCCTGGAGCGCGTAACAATATATATGTATGCTACACTAAGTATATATACATTATGTTATATTTACCGTAAACATTTTTTATTTCATTTATATATTAGAAAGCCAACATGATATTCTACAAAGAAAAATGTTTACAAGTTTAAGTAATTAATCCAATGTTTAGAACATATCATACTTAAAGGCTAACTTAAGATGTTAAAATGAAATAATAAGTAGAGCACATTAAGGTTGAAAAACGAAGAAAGGACAACAAAACAACTTATTTTAAGGCACGAAAAACAAAACAATTTTATAGCAACTCATGAGGTGGTCTAAATTTTATTAGAAAAATATTTTTTAATTTCATTTTTAAAATTAGTATAAGAATCATTAAATATGTCAAGATCGACTAATTTAGAAATTACGTTTTTAAGGTTTTTAAGGTTGTATTAATTGGAGATGATACTGCCACATTTGATGACATTTGTTCTATAATACCTAGCTATGAATAAAACTAGGTATTGTAGAACAAACTACTACCGAATAATAATAATAATAATTTATTTGTTACAGGCAACAAGGATCCATTACAAAATTAAATTTAAAGATTACACACTTAAATATTAATTTCTACTATTGGTTAATTAATCAAAATATTAAATATTATTATTTAGATTTGGAGTATCTATATAGTTTTCTCATCTGGTTGGGTTCTACAAATATATAGTTATAAATGAATATGAAAAGATAAATATACATAAATATCAATAACATAAAATAAATATAAAAGTACATAAATAAATAAAAGCCCAACCAGATGGAGGCCCTCGGCAGGGAAGACCAAACGGCCGAGGGTTAGGGGGAAAGGGAAAGAAACCGGCGGACGATGCGGGCGGTATCGAGGAGCACCGCCTTCTGCATTTGAACCTGGAGCGGTCCGCCACGTAGTCCCAGCCGCCTCAGATGACCCGAGAGGCTGACTGGGATTAGCCCGTTTGCAGAGACGACTACAGGAATAATTTCGGTCGGCAGACCACCCCACATATCGCTCACCTCGTGAGCCAGGTCCAGATATTTTGTTTGCTTGTCTGTTTCGGCTTTCACGAGGTTCTCGTCATACGGAATGGTATTGTCGACCAAAAATATCCTTGACTGTGCCCGGTCCATCAGCACAATATCAGGCTTATTCGCAAGAATAGTCCTGTCTGTGATGATGGCCCGGTCCCAATAGAGCCTGGCGCGATCATTTTCGAGCACGGCTTCCGGCAAGTACTTGTAATACGGCAATTCCCGATCCACGAGATCGTATTTCAGAGCGAGCTCCTGGTGTAGAATTCTGGCTACTAGGTTGTGCCTGTGCAAGTACTCAGAGTTAGAAAGCGCCGAACAACCGGAGATAACATGCCTAAGTGACTAACCGGGATGGCGACAAGCTCGACAGATGTCGACGGTGCCATCCTTTAGGATGTATCTCCGATAGTTGTTGGTCTTAATAACCTGATCCTGTATTGCACAGACAAAACCCTCGGTTTTCCCGAAGAGATCACCAAAGCGTAGCCAGTGGAGGGAGGCTACTGTGTCTACGAAAGGCTCATGTAGAGCCTTGTAGAACCTCCCGTGGAGCTCCTTCTCCTTCCATACGGTCTCCCGGTCGGAAATGCTCTGCACTGCCGGGTCTTGCCATTGCTCGTTGGCTAAGGATAGAGGGGTAAGTCCTTTATCACAAGAAATGACGTCCTTATAGAATGGATCATCCGATCTCGCCAGGAAGTAATCACGGAGGCTGCACACTTCGCGATTATGCATGGTGAGCGCGCTCAAGAAGCCACGACCACCATGCTTCCGCGGCAAGTACAGCCTCATTACCGACGATCTCGGATGATGCATCCTATGGGACGTCATGGTAGTGCGGACTTTTCTATCCAGGGCGTTAAGTTCAGTCTGAGTCCACCTGAGTATGCCAAAGGTATACATGAGGACAGGCATGACCCAGCCGTTATATGCGTGTGCCTTATTCACACCGGACAAAAGGCTGTTAAGCACTTTGGTCAAGCGTGCATAAAACACGTCGCAAACTGACTGTTTCATACCAGTCTCATCGATACCGATGTTTTGTGACATACCCAGGTATCGGTATGTTTCAGCCTCGGAAAGGGTCCTTAAGTTGACGGGCATAGATAAGTCTACGCCCTCAGAGTTAGCAACCCTTCCCCTTTCAACATTGAGGACCGCACACTTATCCGTCCCAAGCTCCATTCCAATGGAATTGCTAAATTCACAAGTGATGTTTAGCAATTCCATAAGATGAAAGCGACTGGAGGCGAATAACTTGAGGTCATCCATATAGAAAAGGTGGGTCACTTTTGTCCCTCCTTTCCGTAGCTGAAATCCCCTCCCGGAGCCCTCCAGTAAGGTACTGAGAGGGTTCAGAGAGAGGCAGAACCAGATTGGATTCAGACAATCGCCCTGGAAGATACCCCTTCTTATCCTTATGTGGTTCTCCGCAGTCATCATCCGCTCGCCCAGATGACAAAGGATCGTACTCCACTGCCCCATACACTGCTCGAGGAAGTCTCTAACTGTACAGTCTATCTTGTACAGCTCGAGGACTCTCTTTAGCCATGTATGGGGCACCGAGTCGAATGCCTTTCTGTAGTCTATCCAGGCGGCGGAGAAGTTCCGACGGTTGTGTTTCACCACTTTGCCAATGACCGCGTCAATGAGGAGTGGTTCCTTGGTTCCACGACCACCGCCCCGACATCCATTTTGAGCGCGCGACATCACCTGATTTGAGTCCAGGTGACAAGTGATTCTCGCGCTCAAAATGGATGTTAGTGTCTTGTATGTGGTCGATAGACACGTGATGGGGCGGTATTTGCTCGGGTCTGTGGTACCCTGGTCTTTAGGAACCAAATGAGTGATCCCAGTAGTGAAGAGGCTTGGGAGCGACTTCTGGTTGAGAGCCTCTTGAAACTGTCGGGCGAGCACAGAGTGACACACCATGAACCCCTTCAGCCAGTAGTGATGCAGCCCGTCAAGCTCCGGACTTTTCCAGTTCGGGGCCCTACGGACCGCCTCAGCTAGGGGTCCATGGGCGTAATACCCGCACACTGACTCGCCACAACTTCCGTCCAAGGGCCCTCGCTGTGGTTTACGGGCTCTGATCACAGGCCGCGCCAGAATGCTACAGTGTCAGCCTGATTCGGTGCTGGACCCGTTCCACTTACCATTGGTCGCTCCAATGATTCATAGAGCCTCTTCTGATCACTCTGAAAGAGACGATTCTGGTTGAACCGTGTCGACCTCTCGGTATATCGCCGAATCCGCTTTCCCCAAGCAGCGATTCTCTGCTTCAGATTATCTATGCGCTCTGTCAGTTTTTGCGTTATATCCGGCTGGGACAAACTGTCATTTGTCCCAGCAAACGCCATCCTGACGGTGCGCACTATTCTTGGCCTGTTGTTGCCTGATCTGAAGCATATCAGTCTGCCGATGAGAGCTCTAGCCTTTGCGATACGTTCCTCAATTCTTCTTCTCCATGCTGGGATAGCGCTACTATGGCCAGTAGCGCGTCCAGCCGTGGAAACCTTGGCGCCTATGATACGGCAGGTTGCCAGCGCGGCGCCAAAAAGAATTGAGTCCGTCTCGCAAAGGTCCTGGCTGGATTCCAAATAGGTCACCAGCATTGGGTTCAGAGCCCTCACGACAGCCCGATTCCGCTTGCTTAGGGCTATGCGGGGAAGTCGCGGTCGATTTTCGAGAGGCGTACTGCGCGTTTCCACAATCGCCTCTTCCAATGTACTCCTCATATGCTCTAATTCCAGTTCCTGGGCGACTGTTCCATCATCGTTTGAATCAACCACAACTGGGGTATTCACGGCGGCATCCACGTTTGCGGGTTGCTCTACCATTTGTGGCGCCGCATCCTCAGCCGTAGCATTCTCATCCGACGAGCGAACAGCCTCACGTCGTAGCCGTTCGAGTTCGGCGACATCAAATATATTTGAGCGCAAGATATACCGAACTCGGTCTGCCAGGTTTTGCTCTGTGACGGTTAAAGATGGCTCCAGCTCAGCAAAAAGACGATGCATCCTAGCCCGATACGCCAAACATCCAGTTTCTTCCCCTTTTGCCCTAAAGTACGCCCGCAATGCGTTTGCATTCATTGCTTGTGACCAACGCATGCGACGTGCTCCACCAGCGGCGGGTGCCGCTTGCTGAGTCCGAGAAGACCCAGCCGACACCAAGCCTTCTGGTGGGGATGATGGATGCGGAGGGCTGCTAGGTGACCGTGCAGCTCCTCGCGCTCGGCTGGCGACCCGCATGCTGCCGCGTCCAGCGCCAGCTCCAGACGCGCCCCGGCGACCCCCAGGCAGCGGCCCTTTGCGCACTATCTTCTTATCCATCATCCATTATTTGGGCGTCCATAAACGGGAGACGCCCAGGCCCGGCACCGTTTCGTGTGTAGCCATAAGCACAAACGGGCCTCTGCACCCTAAATTCTGCCGAGGCACGGCGCTCACACCTCTCGCAAGGCGCTGACTGACTGCGTTGACGTAGCAGTTTTGTCACTTAACCGTTACGTCAGCGGGCGATGGGGTCGTCAATTCCCTACGCCTATTTATTTTATTATTTAGATGGGGGGTATCTATATAGTTTTCTCATCTGGTTGGGATGTATAAATATATAATTATAAATGAAAATGAAAAGATAAATATACATAAATATCAATAAAAAAAATAAATACAAAAATACATAAATAAATAAAAGCCCAACCAGATGGAAGCCCCCGGCAGGGGAGACCAAACGGCCGAGGGTTAGGGGGAAAGGGAAAGAAACCGGCGGACGATGCGGGCGGTATCAAGGAGCACCGCCTTCTGCATTTGAGCCCGGAGCGGTCCGTCACGGAGTCCCAGTCGCCTCAGATGACCAGAGAGGCTAACTGGGATTAGCCCATTCGCAGAGACGACTACAGGAATAATTTCGGTCGGCATACCACCCCACATGTCGGTCACCTCGTGAGCCAGGTCCAGATACTTTGATTGCTTATCTGTTTCGGCTTTCACGAGGTTCTCGTCATACGGAATGGTAATGTCGACCAAAAATATCCTTGACTGTGCCCGGTCCATCAGCACAATATCAGGCTTATTCGCAAGAATAGTCCTGTCTGTGATGATGGCCCGGTCCCAATAGAGCCTGGCGCGATCATTTTCGAGCACGGCTTCCGGCAAGTACTTGTAATACGGCAATTTCCGATCCACGAGACCGTATTTCAGAGCGAGCTCCTGGTGAAGAATTCTGGCTACTAGGTTGTGCCCGTGCACGTACTCAGAGTTAGAAAGCGCCGAACAACCGGAGATAACATGCCTAAGTGACTCACCGGGATGGCGACAAACTCGACAGATGTCGACGGTGCCATCCTTTAGGATGTATCCCCGATAGTTGTTGGTCTTAATAACCTGATCCTGTATTGCACAGACAAAACCCTCGGTTTCTCCGAAGAGATCACCAAAGCGTAGCCAGTGGAGGGAGGCTACTGTGTCTACGAAATGCTCATGTAGAGCCTTGTAGAACCTCCCGTGGAGCTCCTTCTCCTTCCATACGGTCTCCCGGTCGGAAATGCTCTGCACTGCCGGGTCTTGCCATTGCTCGTTGGCTAAGGATAGAGGGGTAAGTCCTTTATCACAAGAAATGACGTCCTTATAGAATGGATCATCCGATCTCGCAAGGAAGTTTATTATTTAGATTTTATTATTTAGATTATGTGGGGTATCTATATAGTTTTCTCATCTGGTTGGGATGTATAAATATATAATTATAAATGAAAATGAAAAGATAAATATACATAAATATTAATAAAATAAAATAAATACAAAAATACATAAATAAATAAAAGCCCAACCAGATGGAAGCCCTCGGCAGGGGAGACCAAACGGCCGAGGGTTAGGGGGAAAGGGAAAGAAACCGGCGGACGATGCGGGCAGTATCAAGGAGCACCGCCTTCTGCATTTGAGCCCGGAGCGGTCCGTCACGGAGTCCCAGTCGCCTCAGATGACCAGAGAGGCGAACTGGGATTAGCCCATTCGCAGAGACGACTACAGGAATAATTTCGGTCGGCATACCACCCCACATGTCGGTCACCTCGTGAGCCAGGTCCAGACACTTTGATTGCTTATCTGTTTCGGCTTTCACGAGGTTCTCGTCATACGGGATGGTAATATCGACCAAAAATATTCTTGACTGTGCCCGGTCCATCAGCACAATATCAGGTTTATTCGCAAGAATAGTCCTGTCTGTGATGATGGCCCGGTCCCAGTAGAGCCTGGCGCGGTCATTTTCGAGCACGGCTTCCGGCAAGTACTTGTAATACGGCACTTTCCGGTCCACGAGACCGTATTTCAGAGCGAGCTCCTGGTGTAGAATTCTGGCTACTAGGTTGTGCCTGTGCAAGTACTCAGAGTTAGAAAGCGCCGAACAACCGGAGATGACATGCCTAAGTGACTCCCCGGGATGGCGACAAGCTCGACAGACGTCGACGGTGCCATCCTTTAGGATGTATCTCCGATAGTTGTTGGTCTTAATAACCTGATCTTGTATTGCACAGACAAAACCCTCGGTTTCCCCGAAAAGGTCACCGAAACGTAGCCAGTTGAGGGAGGCGACTGTATCTACGAAGGGCTCATGTAGAGCCTTGTAGTACCTCCCGTGGAGCTCCTTCTCCTTCCATACGGTCTCCCGGTCGGGAATGCTAAGCACTGCCGGGTCCTGCCATTGCTCGTTGGCTAAGGATAGAGGGGTAAGCCCTTTATCACTAGAAATGACGTCATTATAGAATGGATCATCCGATCTCGTCAAGAAGTATTGACGGAGACTGCACACTTCGCGATTATGCATGGTGAGCGCGCTCAGAAAGCCACGCCCACCATGCTTTCGCGGCAAGTACAGCCTCATTACCGACGATCTCGGATGATGCATCCTATGGGACGTCATGGTAGTGCGGACTTTTCTATCCAGGGCGTTAAGCTCAGTCTGAGTCCACCTGAGTATGCCAAAGGTATACATGAGGACAGGCATGACCCAGCAATTATATGCGTGTGACTTATTCACACCGGACAAAAGGCTGTTAAGCACTTTGGTCAAGCGTGCATAAAACACGTCGCAAACTGACTGTTTCATACCAGCCTCATCGATACCGATGTTCTGTGACATACCCAGGTATCGGTATGTTTCAGCCTCGGAAAGGGTCCTTAAGTTGACGGGCATAGACAAGTCTATGCCCTCAGAGTTAGCACCCCTTCCCCTCTCAACATGGAGGACCGCACACTTATCCGTCCCCAGCTCCATTCCAATGGAACTGCTAAATTCACAAGTGATGTTTAGCAGTTCCATAAGATGGGAGCGACTGGAGGCGAATAACTTGAGGTCATCCATATAGAAAAAGGTGGGTCACTTTTGTCCCTCCTCTCCGTAGCTGAAATCCCCTCCCGGAGCCCTCCAGTAAGGTACTGAGAGGGTTTAGAGAGAGGCAGAACCAGATTGGACTCAGACAATCGCCCTGGAAGATACCCCTTCTTATCCTTATGTGGTTCTCCGCAGCCATCATCCGCTCGCCCAGATGACAAAGGATCGTACTCCACTGCCCCACACACTGCTCGAGGAAGTCTCTAACTGTACAGTCAATCTTGTACAGCTCGAGGACCCTCTTTAGCCATGTATGGGGCACCGAGTCGAATGCCTTTCTATAGTCTATCCAGGCGGCAGAGAAGTTCCGACGGTTGCGTTTCACCACTTTGCCAATGACCGCGTCAATGAGGAGTGGTTCCTTGGTTCCACGACCACCGCCCCGACATCCATTTTGAGCGCGTGACATCAACTGGTTTAGCTCCAGGTGCCGAGTGATTCTCGCGCTCAAAATGGATGTCAGTGTCTTATATATGGTGGGTAGACACGTGATGGGGCGGTATTTGCTCGGGTCTGTGGTATCCTGATCTTTAGGAACCAAGTGAGTGATCCCAGTAGTGAAGAGGCTCGGGAGCGACTTCTGGTCGAGAGCCTCTTGAAACTGTCGGGCGAGCACAGCGTGACACACTATGAACCCCTTCAGCCAGTAATGATGCAGCCCGTCGAGCCCCGGACTTTTCCAGTTCGGGGCCCTACGGACCGCCTCAGCCACGTCTTCCGGCGTTACGGTGATGGGGTCCATAGTCGTAACACTCGCACCCTGGCTCGCCACAACTTCCATCCAAGGGCCCTCGCTGTGGTTTACGGGCTCTGACCACAGGCCACGCCAGAATGCGATAATGTCTGCCTGATCCGGTCCTTGGCCCGCTCCACATACCTTTGGCCGCTCCAATGATTTATAGAGCCTCTTCTGATCACTCTGGAAGAGACGATTCTGGTTGAACCTCCTTGACCTCTCGGTAAATCGTCGAATCCGATTCCCCCAAGCAGCGATCTTTTGCTTCAGGTCGTCTATGCTCTCCGTTAGTTTCTGCGTGATATCCGGCTGGGACAAACTGATATTTGTCCCAGCAAACGCCATCCTAACGGTGCGCATAATCCTCGGTCTATTATTACCCGACCTGAAGCTTGTCAGTCTGCCGATAAGGGCCCTTGCCTTTGCGATACGGTCCTCGATTCTTTTTCTCCAGGCTGGGATGGCGCTACTTTGTGTAGTAGCGCGTCCAGCCATGGGAAGTTTGGCGCCAATAATACGGCAAACTGCCACTGCGGCGCCAAAGAGAATTGAGTCCGTCTCGCAAAGGTCCCGGCTGGCTTCCAAATAGGTCACCAGCATTGGGTTAAGAGCCCTCACGACAGCCCGATTTCGCTTGCTTAGGGGTATGCGGGGAAGTCGCGGTCGATTTTCGATAGGGGTGCTGCGCGTTTCCAAAATCGCCTCTTCCAGTATACTCCTCATTTTCTCTAGTTCGTGGGAGACTATTTCATCGTCGTTCGAATCAACCACAACGGGAAGATCCAGGGCGGCTTCCACGTGTGGATGCTGGTCTGTCGAATGTGGAGCTGCATCTCCAGCCATAGCCGATTCATTCGACGACGGAATAGCCTCACGTCGTAGTCGTCCGAGTTCGGCATCATCAAATATTTTCGAGCGCATGATGTACCGAACTCGGTCTGCCAGGTTTTGTTCCGTGACGGGGGTAGAAGGCTCCAGCTCAGCAAAAAAGCAATGCATCCGAGACCTATACGCTATTCCCACAGTTTCTTCCCCTTTCGCCCTATAGTACGCCCGCAATGCGTTTTCATTCATAGGTTTTGTCCAACGCATGCGACGTGCTCCACCATCTTATTTAGATTATTATTGTATTATTATTATAAGCGACAGTAGCATAATGGCTGGGCGCGGACCGCGAACTCAAAAAGGTCGTGGGTTCGATGGCCACGATGGGCGTGAACCACTCGTAACACAAGCAATTTAAGCTTACCACGAGTGGTGAAGGGGAATATTATTATATATAATGTTTATAGCATTGTTAATATTCTTTTTTTTAAATGTTAATTTTGACCACCTACTAAAAATGTCGCTAAATGCACAAATATTACAAATAATTTGAATGAGATTATTCTGCGACCCAAAAAGGGAACTAAAATAAACTATGATGTCTTATTCTAGAATTAGGACTAGGAATAACATATAATATTTTACCTAAAAGATTAGTATCTTATGGTAAATATACAGACATCACATACATCTCTTGTCTTATCTCTTATATAATACAAGGTTGGCCATAAATATGTAGAATTATAAAACATATCTGTGCTGGAATGGTATGTCGGATGGTTGTTCTTGTTTTATTGTTTATATAACATATAGTACGATGAACTACATAATGTAATTTGATGTGGATCCTGACACACAAAAGTTGTGTAATTTAAGTGTAATTTAAATGTATCGTTACTTGTAACAGTGGAAACGATGAACCTGCTCCGATAAAGGTTTATTATGTTATGCCCGCTATAGCGTGATAAGCTATCATTGTCGTGAGCGACTGTCGGTGGGTTAAGCTATCTTGAAACATCGCAATGTTGCGCATCACCATTAATTTTATTAACAAATGTTGACAAATACTTACCAAAATAAAAACGAAAATTTTTAAGCTATTGCATAGCTTCTATCGCGGGCCTTGAGCGCGGGGACCGAATCCAGAAATTCCGTAACGAAAAAAACCTCACGCTCCCCACTCCGACGGGCACGGAGGTGTGGCGTTGAAAGCCGTGCATCGTCTAACGTCGTTTCAGTTCGACAGACTTCGGCACTCGGCAGACTTCGGCACGGTGTGCGTGTACGCTAGCTGCTAACTCAATGATAAAAATTCCTGAATAACCTACATGTATTGTAAGATATTAAAAATATTTTAAACAATATTAACTTCTCATTTATTCAATAAGAGAAAAAAAAATTGTTTTCTTATCGTTCACCACGCTCAAAAAGTGTAACTTGATTTAATATCAAAGACTTAACTGCATAAATAAAATAAATAAATAATTATAATTGCATAAGTTGATAAAAAATGCTATGCAATAGCTTTACCGCGGCAGTCACCTAGTGCCACACGTATTTTTTTGCTACTTGACAATGTTCAGGCGCTGTCGAATATCGAATAATTGAGTTATTCTCAGTAGTTGTACCAAGTAGTCTTACTAGTAAAACAACGGGGAATTCTCTTCCTAGTAGCTCATACGTTATGGCATTATAATTCTGTTCCGCATAGATCTAGTCTCCGTTGGCACTGGTCGCCATGACTGAAATATGGTCTGAAGAACTATTCCACTGCCTCTTTCACGTTTATGCTTGCCTAGTACTTCCTATAAGGTACGTGAGGATAATATGGTCTTCTTAAGCTTTGCCGCCCTATAAATGCCCGGGTAATGGGCAATGCCCCGAGGCCCGAGACCTGCAGGGCCTAAGAAGCCCTTGCAGAAGACATCATACGCCCTATAAAACCAAAACTAATAGAAGGACAGAGACAAAAACACAAAGGCGAGTACTAATAATTAATATATTAAGAATAAGAAATACCTTTAAACGAGCAATTCTTGTATATATATATGTAATCGGAATCTCGGAAACGGCTCCAACTATTTTCATAAAATTTAGTATCCAGGCAGTTTCGGGGGCAATAAATCGATCTAGCTAGGATTTATTTTTAGAAAATGTTTTTTTGTTTTCAGGCAATGAAAAACTGCTACAATATAAGAAGGTAAATTTTGACATTAAATTAATGATTGTAATAGCTCAAGTGGATATCGAGCGGCGGCGAAATCTTAATGCCTTGGTTCGCGTTTCGTCTTCGGACTGATTTTTTTTCCTTTTTTTTTTAAAGTTACCTTCTTTTGTGAGAAAATCTAATATTTTGAGCCCTTTTTTTAGTATTTTTTAAAAATACGAAAATTTTAACTAAACTAATTGCACTCATGATTTTTTATTCAAATAACCAGTTCAGTTTTTTCTATTATGTCAATAAAATCAAAAAATATTATTCATCAGTATGTAATTTGTATCTAAATGTAATTTCAAAATAAAAACCGAGCAAAGCTCGGTCATCCGGGTACTTAATATATTAAGAAAAAATAGCAAACAAGCCTTAGCAATAATTATGAATACTTCGAAAAATCAACTTTAAAAAAACTATCTACACTACACCATATTAAATTAGGCTAAAATATTTACTATAATATCAACTATTAAAATGGCGGCGATAAAGCAGCGACCTTTAGACCCTTTAGTATTCGATTGACCGATGAAGAGCTATCGTATCACAAAACCGTATATGCAAACAAGGCCGTAGTTTTAGAGTTATAAGAAAGTGACCATATTAACCGGATGACCATATTACTATACTATTCACAAAAAACAAACATCAGTCAATTAGGCCAAAAAAACGTTAACTTGAAATGCATTATTATCATCATCATCACCATCATTACAGCCCTTCACAAGTCCACTGCTGTACATAGGCCTTCCCGAGGGATTGCCACAAAGCACGGTCCTGAGCCACCTGCATCCATCGACGTCCTGCATGTCTTACCAGGTCATTACTCCATATAGAGGGGAGATGCCCTACACTTCACCCGCCGATACGAGGCTGCCACTCATGAACTTTTTCCACATTGGTTATCGGTTCTTCGTAGCTATGTGGCCGGCTCATTGCCACTTCCGTTTACTAATCCGTTGGGCTATATTTGTTACTCAGGTTCTTCTGCGGATATCCTGATCCCTAAGTTTATCACGCAGAGAAACTTCGAGCATAGCCCTCTCCATAGCTCGCTGAGCACTTTGAGCTTCCTCGTACGGTCGACAGTGAAGGACCACGTCTCAGATCCATAGGTCATCACTGGCAACACGTACTGATTGTACAATAAGTGACGCTGCATCATTATGACAAATATAAAACAAAGTAGTTAGGTACTGATGAAAATATTCTACTGGACTACTGATTATTTTCTACCCTAGTGGTCTTACCGGTTACTTCTACTTGGTAAAAAAATTCTCAGTCGTTTTATAAATAAGATTATTAGGTTAGAATATTGGAAAGTTCCCATTTGGAAATCAGTAGTCTTTTACCAGTAAGACCACCGGGAATACCCCGAACAATTTCCAGTTAATTGTGAATTGTACGAGTCTACAATCAAAGAAAAAAGTAAGTCTACGTGAGCGACTTGAAGCATCTATTAAATAAAATTGCGGCGTGCGTGTGTTTTCGATTCTCCTTCTCCAAAACGCCTTGACCGAGACGTATATACCATAACCATTATTGGCTATAGTTGGGGTACCTATTGTAATATACATAAATTATATATATATATATATATATATATATAGGATCTTCATCACACAGCTGTTTGCTACGTATGTCAATGGTCGGCTATTAATGATTTCTTCCCGGTACAAAGTATTGTTGATAATTCAGTCTATCTCATGGCTGTTAGACGGAAGATGGGGCTGCAATCATCAACAGATTTGACATGACGGCATACATGCGAGACTTACGCTACAAACAGATCTCCAAATGCATGCGGCGAGACTTACGCAACTTTAATACTGCTCGTATTGAAGAAGCGATCGAGTGGAACCAGGGCTCCAAAGTCTTTGCCAGAGATTTGTCTGCCAGAAAGAGCCAACTGTCAAAGATGAAGACAGTGTAGCATCGTCGTTTCCGGGACACCTAAGATTTTGAGTGAGATTGAGAGGTTCTATGGGCAGCTGTACACATCATCGTTAGAGCCACACGCAAGTGTGAGTAACGATCCAAGAGCAAGTCTTATCCGACACTATTCCGATGATGTCCCGGACGTCAGTCGGAGCGAGATTAGAATGGCTCTCCAGCACCTTAAAAACGGCAGGGCCTCAGACGAGGATGGAATTACAGCGGAGCTTTTGAAAGCGGGTGGAACACCGGTACTTAAAGTCCTTCCGAAGCTCTTCGATTCCGCCCTTCGTGGTGGCACTACTCCGGAGGCGTGGAGCAGAAGTGCGGTGGTCTTGTTCTTTAAAAAAAAGCGACAATGCCCTCTTGAAGAATTACAGACTGGTTTCCCATTTGAGCCGCGTCTACGTGCTGTTTTGGAGAGTCATTACGAATCGTCTCGCATAGAGTCGACGACTTCCAGCCTCCCGAACAAGCTGGGTTTTTTTTTTTTTTTTTTTTTTTTTTTTTTTTTATATAATAGGGTGACAAACGAGCACACAGTCCACCTGATTGTAAGTGGTTGCTGCGGCCCATAGACATCTACATCTATCCTCCATTAAAAATCAAAATGCAGATGCGTTGGCACCCGTGAGGACTGAGATGGAATGCCTCGTTTCCAGTAAAAAGGGTCTCCGGTTCTCTACACTCACCATACGAAATACAGCAGCATTAAGCTACTATTTCACGCTGGTATTCTGTGAGAGCGTGGTCCTTCCCCGGTCGAGCCGACCCATTCGTGCTACAACTATACTACTATTATAACTGCAGCATGGCTCTACCACGTATAAAAGACTTCAGTACCTAAGACCACATACATACCCTGCGGCAGATTGTACAGAAGACCGAAGATTACAATCTGCTAATTTATCTGGCGTATGTGGACTATGAGAAAGCCTTTGATTCCGTCGAAATTTGGGCGGTGCTACAGTTCCCTCAGTGGTGCCGAGTTGACTGTCGGTATATCGAAGTGCTGAGGTGTTTGTGCAGTATGGCTACGATGGCTATCCGAGTATAGAACCAGAGTTCGAAACCTATCCAACTGAAGAGAGGTGTAAGACAGGGTGACGTTATATCCCCG